CCTATATATATTTATTGGTATTCTTTACCTTTATACGCTAGGTGCTAAAGCCTCTTTTAACTACCTATAACCTTATCGCAGTAATCGTCTATTACACGGTAGAGATTCTATGCGCCCATTACCAGATCATAAATACCTTGAGAGGCAGGTAAACTATCGCGGGCTTCCTCCGCCATGGCGACATCAGGAAGAAGATCTAGCTCTTTGTAAAGCTCCTCGTATCCGCCAGCAGCACACGCTCGGCCGATCTTGTAGCGCATGAAGAGTGTAGGATGGGCCTTCAAGAGCTGTCGCAAAGTATCTTGACTGGGGATATCGGGGTGTCAAAAGCAGTATGGGATGTCTCCTGGCTTCCTCATCTGGGGTATCCGGTTACTCATGATGTCCCTGGCGCTGAAGGCCCGCTCCAAGGACTGATGTAGCGATTTACCACGAAGTTCAATAGCGAAGCCATCGTGATATCGAATGCCTGCGATCAGACACTTGTAAACCAACTCATGCGGGAATTCTTCAGGAACTGCGTCTCCACGGACGGCAGCTCGTAGTGGCTCCAATTCTAGAGGGAGAATGCCCTCTCGCAACGTTTTCAGTTCTTGAACGAGCATGGCGGCGAGTATGATAAGGAAATATATTTAAAGGATAGAAATGAACAACACAGTCTAATCTCTCTGATTTATAACTGCCAAATTAGCGCTAAATAATGGAAGAATTACTCTTATTAATTGACTCACAAGATGCGCCCATTGTTGAGCCACTTGAGCAGCAACTACAAGGCAAATCAGTCTGCTGGGCCTACAATCATTCCACATAACCGCAATGCCCAACACTGCTGTAGAAACAGTTGCCTAGTACATCTAGATACTTATAATTTACAGAAACACGACTTTCTCTTCTTCACAAGATCCTGAACAATCGCGTCCTTGCGCCGAAGTCAGGCTAAAAAGCTTCGAGCTTGTTTCCCTTCAGGGCTCGTCGAGCGTCAGCTGCCTCCTTGAAGGCCTTTCTAGGAACCTTTAAGATGACATCTTTGGAATCAGTGAGCATACAAAGGATCGCAAAGGGAGCCGACGCTGGATCATCGACGATATCAACAATGCTAAGTGCAGCGCTCCCTGCCTCGCCAATAATGAGCGCTACCCGAGCAATCATCGCGGCGCCACCGAGAGCCGATGCTGCCGTTCCAGCGAAAGGAATAACTGCAAAGACTATGCTCAGAGTACTGAGAACAAGTTCCCGTGTCTTCGTCTCCTTCTGCTTCTCGCCAATCTCTTTGACGGACCCAATGGTGAAGCTCTTAAGAACCCCTTTTTGGCCTACCTTCTGGCTAACAGCAATACTTACAGGTAAAACTCCTGACGCACTCCAACTCGGTATTGTCAGCAACTGTGCAAAGTTCTACATGATCAAACTCAGGTGAAGGTTGTGCTACCGTGGCTTCCAAGAACGGCGTTAGTCTGGCAGAGTTTTACAAGTGGAATACAAAGGTTGGCTCTGCATGTAGTGCCCTTTATACAGATGCCTATACCTGTGTATCTGTTATTGGACATAATGCCGCTACATCAGTGCAAACCACCAAGCCGTCCAACGGCATTAAGACTCCGTCGCCCATTCAGGACGGTACGACAAAGGATTGCGAGAAGTTCCACTTAGTTAAATCAACAACGACATGTGCGTCTATCGAGGAGTTCTACAAGTTACCCTTTGAAACATTCAAGTCGTGGAACCCTGCCGTCGGGGGAAAATGTCAATCCTTACTAGCCAACTACTGGGTCTGCGTCAAGGCCAAAGGTTGGAAGCCAAGTACCCCGTCGAAACCCAGCAAGCCAGCCAACGGCATCGAGACACCTGCAATGATTCAGCCCGGGATGACAACTTCTTGCAACAAGTTCCACGAGGTAAAGAAGAGCACAACTTGCGCGTCGATCCAGGACTACTACAAGGTTACGATGGAACAGATTGCCAAGTGGAACCCCGCTGTTGGTTCCAAGTGTACAGCACTTTGGGCTGGTTATAACGTGTGTGTTGGAGTTATAGGTCAGAAACCATCTCCGACTAAGCCTGGTAACGGTGTCAAAACGCCATCTCCAGTTCAGGACGGAGTCATTAAGTCTTGTAAGAAGTTTCACATGGTACAGAAGACTACGACCTGTGCTTCGATTCAGAACTATTATAAGATTACCATGGCACAGCTATATAAGTGGAATCCTGCTATCGGTGCCAAGTGCACCAATTTGTGGGCTAACTACAACGTTTGCGTCGCCGCATAGGGCGGTCTTAGAGGGCAGATATTGGACTGATTGAGTTTGCAGCAGTCAAGTGATCTTTGACTCGTCGCTGATGTTCACCTATTTTAATAGAATGATGCCCTTACTGGGATTCTCTTGCTAGATTGAACATCGATGTGATGATATTGATGTACAGAAGCACCTAATTAGATGTCATCAGTTTGATAATTGGCGTCAAAGATTTCGCAAAATGTTACATTGGTCCCTGACTTGAAGAATACGCGGAGTTATACGAATAACACCTGTTGGTAGGTCTCATCACTGCAACCTTAGCCTTGTTCACTCTAAAATTTAGTTCCTCTCGATATGTGGTCGAAGGTTTATCGCTTATCGCCGTTCACTTCCTTCCTTTGGCGTGAGTGAGCATCCTCAAGGTTTCTCTTTCCTCATCCTCTTCTCTGTTCATCCATGTTCAAAGAAGGAACTGTCCCGCCATTGGTACCATACTTTGCAAACCCTTCCCTTCCAGGGAACTCATTTGACTTTTCTTCTTCTTCTTCTTCTTCATCATCATTGCTTCAGAATACACACCACAGAATTATTACATCTTCTTGACACCCCCATGGAGTCTTCGAGCAACCCCAGGTATCCCCGTGCTGAGAGACCCCCGAGATTCATAGAATGCCCGTTTCACAAATATGATAGCATCCGCTTTCACAAATGTGCCAACCAGCCTTTCAAACAGATGACGGGTTTGTGGGATCATCTCCAATCGTGGCACCAAGAAAGCATCAGCACTCCCCCTTTGACTTGCCGGAATTGCCGCGAAGATATTTCGAAAGGCAAGAATGGTGGCCAGCATAATCAGTCGCAATGTGTCCCTACTACCGCAGGGGAATCAGGCATTCTGCTTGAGGCAGAACTGACAAGATGCCGGGAGGAAAATTCTGTTAAAAATCCCGAGACAGCATGGTATAACCTTTAGGAATTCTTATTCCCGCACATGGAAAGGCCAAGGACACGCTATTTGGAGATCGCGGTTCCCTATCTTACCGCAAAGGCTCAAAACACAGTGCTGAATGCCAACTACCATGCCTTTCTACTTCGCAACATATACTTGTCTCACAACACCCCGAGTAGTGGCGACAACAGATCTAGAACCTCGAAACCGTACGTCTCGGAGCCCGCGCCAACACTACCTCCTAGGCATTTCATTGGAAGCGCATATGAAGCTCAACGACAACATGCGAATTTTGTGCCAGTACCTCCCACTGTACGGTTCGTTGAGGGCAATCATCAAGCTATACAACAAAACCCCATTTCCCAGCAACCACCACGACGGGACTCCAACCTGCAGGCCCCTCAAAATGAAACTCAATCTCCAAAGCAGCGCGTGAAACCTCAGCAGGCTTTGCCACAGGCTCCTCATTCACAACCCCCTTATAACGGAACTCTGGCTCAGCAGCAACAAGTGACTCAGTATGCACCACCACCACAGGCCCCATATCCACAGCTCCCTGGTGATGGAACTCTACGTCACCCGATGCAGCTCAATCACTCGCCTCAACCTTGCATGACGCCTATGGAGTTTCTTAGCACGCCGGCGAGCTCGATAAGCCAACAAAGATTCGATACTTCGCAGCCTCAACCCCAGAGATATCCGACGGAGACTAGATTCGGCATCTTCTCCGATCCGCCTCAGTCCAATATAACATCAGCTGAGAATCCAAGCACAGTGATAGGATCTATGGGACAACAGAACATCGGTGTTTCTAAACCACAACATGAGGGAAATCCGTCGCTAGATTTGTTGGACCGCTCACAGTTTTCGCCCATTGGAGGCTATTATCAAAACAACAATTCAGTCTCTGTTGCTAGTAACAGCAACGATCGATTTCCTGATATTGATAACCAAGAAGGTGACAAAGGTACTGATCTGATGGATACGGGTCACTGAAAACATAACGGTATTGGTCTGATGGGCTATTCGGTTGACTGAGGCTCAAAACGAGTGAGCATGCGAAATAGAACTAGAACTGGGGGGTTTCTTCATGTACGATTAGCCGTCAGAATTATGACAATATCAAACAGCGTCCTCATATGAAAGTAAGCGATTTCATATCATTGACTCGCATGAAAAGAATGATGAGACAATTGTTAAAGACCAAGCAAGTTAAACAAGGCGATAAACGAGATGCGTTTATTATGAACTAAAGTTTTCAGCACCATGATGCAATGGCCGTTTAGCTGGTCATTCCTCTTATACTGATACCGATCAGTAGTCCCGACTCCCGGAAGGCTTCACTTTGTAGAACCAGTGTTGAGCTCGTTGAAAGAAAGCTCGGGCTGCTTGCCATGATCGAGCAACACAGCTGGATCAAAGATACAAAAGACTAAAATCGCAACTGCGATACAAACACCATCAAGACCAATAAAGTATCCCTCAGTCTTCATCAGCTTTCCATCCCAACCCTCAAGGAGCTCGACCGTTCGGTAGATGCATCGGATGTAGACAAACACGACGGATATGATGGTGGCGTAGATGACGAAGCGCTGACCCTTGGCGAGTTCAAGACCGCGTGTTCTCAGGACAAAGATTGCAAAGAGAATGCAAAAGCCAGTCATGCTGACGAGTTGGAAGATGATACCGGAGACCATAAGGTTGGCGCCTGGCTTGGTGTCTTTGCCTTTGTTCGCTGCCCCCGAAGCTAGACCACCACCGCCGGCCTGGATCAGAAGAGCCAGGACATCAACGACGAGGAAGATCCAAAGGTAAAGCTTGGGTCTTATGACGGAGTATTGAGGACCGACCGCTTTGATGAGATATCCCAGCGTGACGTAGATGGCGGCAGCGACAAAGATGGGAGCGACGACGAGGGTAGTGATCTGAAGGAGGAAAGCGATCTTGTTGTATGCGCATTTCGACGACCACGTTCGGCCAATCCAGCCGATGAGCTCGATGTACGAAGAAATGGCTAGGAGGTACGAAGTGGCCTTTCGCTTCTGGAACGATCGAACGATGTGATAAATCCCCGTAGCGGCAAATATGAGACAAAAGACGATTCCAGCTGCTAGGCTGGGAACATAGCCGTAGGCATTCTCAAGACCTGGAATGAGGTCTTTGCAGCCGTTTAGAAGATCGCCTCGGGCGTAAGAACCATCTGCTATCGACATGACGGCTTGAAGGGAGAGTGAAGAATACGAGAAAGTTAACGGTCTGAAGAAGAGCGAAAACCTCGAGCGAAAACTCGACCCAGAGTTAGCCAGAATGAAGGGCGCTGCGGAGACGGATCTGCAACAGACTCCAGGACCAACAAGTCCCTCAAAGCCTCTGCTATTGTCGAGTCATACACTGACCCAACACCGAGTCGTGTTTTACCCGCTTAGATTACAAGCATGGAGCTTGTTATCGAAGCTGACAGGGATAGGGTGCGACGTTAGATCTTACGGTGTGGGGATAAGTATGGATGCGACATCCTTGCTATCAACACGTAAATGTGGCACAAACTAGCTTCATGACATATCTTTGACCCCTTTGTTGGCTGTGTTACTGAGAAACTAAGCACCAACAGATGTCGGCTTATGAGACATTTCTCGTCATGCAGTCTTGGCTTTGCTGGGTAGTTGAATACGAGAATTATACTTTGCGCTCTGATCTATGCTCACCAACCCTGGACTTCCTCTACAGAGACCTTGAGTCCCTTACTAGGCTTCGCCACAATCCCATCCGTTATATCCCGTACCTCATAGTCCTTGTCAATGTCAAACCTGTATCTCCCAACCAACGCACACGTAAGAGCCATGAGCTCAGCCAGTGAGAACCTCTGACCAATACATCCTCGAGGACCGTGCAGAAACGTCAGGAATGCGTAGTTGCTCTTTGCACCGCCTGAGTTGGCTTGGCCAGGTGCCATCCATCGCTCAGGGTTGAAGTCATCTGCATCAGGGCCCCAGAGTTCATGGGCTCTGTTGATGGCCCATGGACAGAGAATGACCATTGTTCCTTTGGGGACGAATGTTCCGAGGATTTGAGTGTCTTTGAGGGCATCGCGGACTGTGAGGGGATTGGTGCGTAGAGCCTCAGTGATTCTTGGCAGACTGCGTGGAGGTACGAGAGGCTGTCCAGCTTCTTAGCATCAACATTGTCAGTGAGACCATCAAAATTCTGTCGAATTTCCTCTCGAAGGCGGTCCTGAATATCATGGTTCTTCGCCAGAAGGAATATTGTCCAGGTCAACGCGGCAGCACTGGTCTCGTGCCCAGCAGCTAAAAAGGTCATCATGGTATCGACAAGCCCTTCATCCGTGAAATGGCCTGATTCAAGCGCTGTAGAGATGATATCAGGTGACAGTTTCTCTTTAGCCGCCATCTGTACCTTCTTCGCGTTGATGAGTCGCTGGGATGTCTCTCTCGCAGCCCTCGAAGCTGCCAACACGCCCATGTTTCTCTGAAATGGCAAGTAATCCGTAATTATGGACGGAAGCACAAGCTGAAGGACCGTCAAGAGCTTAGCATCGCGACTCTGCTTCACCATCGATCCGTACATCTTCATCGTGTCTTCAATACTGGGATCTGCAAGTGACCTGAACTCGTGGCCCATTCCTGCAGAACCTATGATATCCATAGAGGCTCGACTCGCCCAGTCGACGATATCAATCTCTGAAGTTGACTCTTCTTTGAGCTCCTTTTCGATCCCGTGGACTAGCTCTTGTGCCTTACTCCAGAAAACTGGATAGAGTTCCTTGATGTGGCGGAAGCTAAATGCCGGCATCAAGTTCTTTCTTTGCATCTGAGAGTGTCAGCTTTGGTCTTGTATAGTACAGGTGAAACTACCTTGTGAACATCTCCTTCTGACAAGAGCAGCCCATATCCCAAGATCTTGCCGACCATTGCCCGTAGTAGATGAGGCTTGACGTAGTCATAGCTGTTCTGACCAAGTACCTCTTTAAGACCCTCGGGACTAGTCACAACGAGCCTTTCTTGGTTGAATAGATGCCTTCCTAGTCAGTATAATTCTTAAATAAGTGAAGATCACGTACTTGTATCTGATCAATCCATTGTTTTCAATTGTTCTTGACCAATGTCTGAATGGCAATCCAGCAGGCTGACTGGTAGACTCTGCCCAATGTCCATTAATAAAACTCGCGCCCTGCCACTGTTAGTCATCTTCTCAGCTTTTTCTTTCAATACATACCTTTGGCTCTGGCAGGTGCCTCAAGGGACTAAAGAACCGATGATACAAAAACACCGAGTAGAATGCCCAGACACTCAAGAACGCCACCATATACTTGCCCATATAAAACGGAGCATGTCGGATAGAATAGTTCCTGTCGTGGATTATCTGAGTATAGATGGCAAAGGCGAGGGCACAAAGGGCCCAAGGACGGGAATAAGAGAGAAAGACAGCAATTCGTGCCACGGTGAGATGATGTGGACGAAGAGGAAATCTCACTGAGCTGGGTATTTTATGTGCAGAGTTACCCACTTGAGCTCTGTACAGGGGTAGGCAGGGCCTTGTTTCGTGCACTGCCCTACGTGATTGGCTTACGAACACTTTTTATAGCGTATCTATAGTGGACGGTGCACTAAATTAGGCGGCATAAGATTTGCGCAATGGTTAACTTGGCATCTTGATATTCTGAATCACGTTCTATAGCATACTATGCGGCTTCTCTCTTCTTAAATCGTAGCTTAACACCAACGGGCGGCATAACAGCCTCTGTAACCCACTGAATCTCCGGCCGAACTCCGTTGTGCTCAGGAAGCAGCTCAATATCAAACCTGTTCAAAACATGATACAAAATCATCTTCATCTCAAAGTCCACGAGAAACCGTCCAGGACAGGCATGTTTTCCATGTCCAAAAGGAAGATAGGTTGAAGAAGTCGATACATACGATAGCGTCGGGTTAGTGTCTTTGCCATCGGGACCTGCCCTCATATTCGAGAATCTGAAAGGGTAGAACTTCTCAGGATGCTCATAGATGCCAGGATCTTGGTGAACGGGATATGAGAGGATTGACATGGTTGAACCATTCGGTAAGGAATGGCCGTCTGGAGTCTTGAGACCACCTGGTGCAACAACCTTGCGAATCATAGCTCTGTTTCCAAAGCCATGAGTTCGCATCGATTCTCTCAGAATGCTATCTGTTTGAATCATCTTGGAGACCGATGCTTTGTCAAAAATACCGTTGCTCTCTGCAAGAACATCTTCCATCTCCTTTCGGATGGCTGTAATAGTGTTAAACTCGGTATCTGAGGCTGCAATGTTGATCAAAACGTTGCTGATAGCAACCGCAGTCTGATGGAATGAGGCAAGGTTCGCAAGGCAAAGCCGATCAGAGATCTGATGCGGCGATACTTGGTTACCATACTTGCTGATGGCATATCGCATCATCATTTGCAGATTGTCTGTCGGTTCTTCATCCTTCTCGTAGAACCCAGGATTCAGTAGCTTCTTGGCTCTCTCCTCATAAAGTGGCTGAATATGCTTTTGAATCTTCCATCGTCTATACCGCGTTGGCAATGTGACAATAAATCCAATGAGTGGCTTGATAATTGATGGAGTGTAGATCAATAGGCCAGAGTTCAAGATGAACAAGTCTGCAAACGCCAACGAATCTTTCAAATACTCCTTATCGCGGCCTTGAAAATTAGCTACCGTCGAACTAAAGAATTCAAGACTCACAGAGAGGTAGGCCAACAGTGAAACGACTCGAAACTTGAGCCACTATCCACTTCATAGCCTCATAAACATCAACTTCATCACCAGTCCCAGGTTTGATATACTCAGGAATAGCATACTGAAGCTCATCATCAACGGCAGCAGCTAATATCTCAAGGAAACGGCCCATCTCCTTCTTGATGACGATACTCTGCCATGGGTCTTGAATGTAACTGGCATGTCCAGAGTTCCAGTCTCCCTTGTCGATTTCTCGAAACCCTTCAATTGGGCTGAGCACAGCGTCTGGTTGTGAAGCGGCCCATTGGGTATGGTGGTGTGCTAAATGGATTTCATCTTTGAAGCCCATACTAGGTAATACGCAGGTTCTGCCATGTTTGGTGAACTATTTCTGTCAGATTCGTTCATAATATTTGTAGGGAACATACTGTCTGATACGCTTCGACAAAAAGCTGTCGGCAATCTGTGAGATACGCCCACTGTAATTTGAAAGGCAGATATGAATCACGCTTCAGTCTTGGGAGGCTTGAGGGTAGCTTTGGAGAGCTTCTGTGTTGAACCAGATAAACAACTGCCAAAAATACGGCCACAAACAGATAAATCGCCATCACGACTGATGCTGAGCATGCCTTGACAACAATGACGAAGCCAGAGAGAAAGTTGACTACCCTAAGATGAGCATCAGCCCTGGCCGAAACATCACTAGTTTAGTTTAAATTTAGCCACCGTTAGCTTCACCCTGAAAACAAACAGCCACGCCACAACCGCATCCTCTGCTCCACTGCCTCTAGCTCTGCTCCATAGTAAGCGTCCATCAGACGCTGTGACATTTCACGCCTGCAAAACATCTATAGATACTTCTTCCAATCTCATGCTCTGCAGGGAACATCCAGCCCACCATCACAATGTCAGCAACTCCAGACGTAAAGATCGTAGTCGCACGTTTCTCCTCACCGTGGATGTTAATCACTAACGTCCCAGGCCGGTCTCCCACGCACGTCTACGACAAGTCTCAAGAAAGGTCTCGAGATTCTAGGGGTAACACCTTGTTTTCACCTCGGAGATCCTCCAGCTCCAATCTCTCGCGTCAAAGAAAGTGCAAGAGTATTTGCGATTCAAGACCGCAATGAGAGGCTTAAGGCGTTGAAGAAGCTGTACGATGGCTTTGAAGCTGTCTTTGAACCACCCGCTAGCGCTCTCGTCGATGACATGCTCACGATCTACCCCGACGCAAAGGTACGAATCACCAGCTCTCCATTGAAGCTTACTCACATTTTCTAGGTCATCCTCTTCTTCCGCAAAAATCCGCAGGTCTGGCTCGCGTCTTACTACGGCCTGGGTATTGATCTTCGCTCAAAGTGGTACCGCATCCTAGGCTACTGGATCCCCGGCGTTATTCACTCCAGCGACCTTATCGTAGCCTGGTCGAAATACTACGCTGAGAAATTCAACCTCGAGCAAGTCCCCTCGGAGGAACTGTACCATAGGCATAACCAGTGGGTTCACGATATTGTGCCTCCCGGGCAATTGCTCGAGTACCAACCGAGTATGGGATAGAAACCCCTGACGCGATTTCTGGAAAGGCGTGTTCCAGAGGGTCAGCCGTTTCCACGTGTCAACGAAGCTGCTTTTCTTAGAAATGTGAAGCGAGTCGCTATGGGTCTTGGATCGTTGGTCTGGCTGTGTTTGTTTGTTGGTCTGTACTACGCTGGATCCATGGCGTAGTCAAAGTTTGTGTCTGAAACTTGAGCCGAGTTGGTTGAATAGAAAAAGAAACTGCGCCACGCACATGCTTCTCATTGCCGGCCGTCGTCTGAGTAAAGCTTCGATTGGTCGCTTATACGCACCCCCTTGCTGTATATCTCTCGTCAGACGGAGCCGCTAATCGCGATTTGCAGGGATTATCAACCGGCATGTGGGCGATCCTTCGGTTAATGGAGCCGTTTGCAAGTGAATGTGAGATTTAAGCAAAACTTCATATAAAATGAAACTGTGATTCTCCATACGGGATTCCGTGCGGTGAAGCCTGAATGGGCATTTGTTTTGGACCATCGCTGATTGAGACTTCACAGGGTTAATTAACTTTTGTACGACCGCGGCACGGAATGGCAATGTTACTCCACGGGCCGGTTTCGAAGCTTATACTGAGGTAAATATCTCCGCGTTCGTGCTGATTGAAGCTGTAACTCTCTTACCTCACTCATCAAAATGACCGCTCTCGTTGCATTCTGCCTTGCATTGGCGTCCCAGGGCCTTACAGTCTGGGTTCTCGGTTCCACAGCCCCCGCAAACCACGTTCGGCCTATTATTGCAGCGACTGTCACTTTGCTTACCTGGCTCTTCAATGAGGCCATTCTCGACGCATTACCCAGTCGTCTACATGTGGCGTTGCTGTCTACAGGAATGTGGATTCAATGCTTGAAGACGTTTGACGATCTCTGCTTGAGCAGGTTGTCTTTCGAGAGTACATCGCCATCCTTTACGAATCGTGCGTCCTTTGGAGTCAGCAATCTTTGGAACATGCGTGGTATCGGTACGAGTAAACAGATATCCCAAATACCCCCTTGGTCTAGCCAAACGCCCTCTCTCGTACCGTCCCGTAGCCTGGAACTCAAAAGACATGCAAGGAATGCCATCATTACCTATCTCATCCTCGATGTCTTTGCCGCCCAGCCACCCCCAGATCCCAACATGATATCTCCTCAGAAGGAACACTTGCTGACACGCATCGGTCAAGTCGGTCCTGAAGAGATAATCTTTCGCTTCTTTGCCATCTTTAGCTTCTGGCTCTAAGTTCTGTCCGCTGGGTTAAGCTCTTAGCTATAAGTCTTAACTATAAATAATATATCTAGCTTATAACTTAGATATTATACTAAATAACTAATTAATTACTATAGCTAAAGGCTAAAAAGAGGAAAACCTAAATTATAACTCTTTAGCTAGCTTTAAAGGTATATAAAATAGTACTTTTAATTTATTAGCTAAAAAAGGTTAGCTTAATACTATAAATACCTTAAATTTTTAAGATAGTAACTTTAATAAAAGAAATCTTTACTTAATATCTATTTCTTTAAATAGTAACTATTAATAATTATACTAATAAGGCTCTAGTTATACTATAAGCTATATTTTAATATAAAAAT